GAAATTTAACTGTTATACTTTGTTATATGTGGTTATTGATAATACTGAGTAAGAAAAGTAGTTGAAATTTTAAAAACAAAATGGGTTTCTCTATCTGTTATGATGAACTGAAAAATATTTGAAGTTTGATTACTCCGTTAGGTGAAATTTATAAGTTGTCGAATTGAATGTAATGAAAGCAGTTTACTATTTGATATTTGAAGGATTTCAAAGACACACAAATTCATCAGATGCGGTACACTTCTTTGAATCACAAAGTGGAATGCTCTCAAGATATTTACTCTCGAGATTTTCTTGGTGATATCGATTATTATGTTTATTCATTCCCCAAAAAGGTGGATGACAGAGAAGAGGATAAGACTGCACAGAAATTCGTACGGCGTAATGAAATAAATAAAAATGACAATGATCGTCCATTGATAAAATTATAATTTTCGAATGGTTAAATCTAGTTACTTCTTATGTTGTTGTTCTGTAGCTTACATTTAAGGCTTCCGAAAATTTTATAAACAAAGGAACTGCCATTAGTAATAAGGTAGAATAGACAAGATAGAATTCGTGTAATTCATTTTGTTTCAGATCTGTTGTTGCAGTTTGTGATAATTGATCCACTTACAAATCCTCTGGCAATTCAATTAATTAATTAAACAAGAAAATTTCGAAAATTTTGTTTATTGTCCACAAGAGCAATGATTTCATTGGCACAGTCAATTAACGTACATTCATCGCTGCCACATTAATCAAAACCCTAATTATGACTGTGTTTTCAAGGCACAAAAATTGGCTGTTCATTTTGCATATTTTCCATGATATTCCAAATATTTGTTACATCTTCATAACAATATCTTTATGGCTCTAACTGCTGACAAAACGATTGAATCAATTATCGAAATTTATTTGAACTATGTCTATGAAACAGTCAATGAGTAACAAAAATCAATCATTTTCCTCGGAGAGATCTTCCGTAACTGGATTTTCCCCACCAAATTTTCGAAAACCAACAATTGCATACACAGGACCGATATAGAAATCAGACTTTGTTTCAACCTGATAGTCAATTCCAGTCAATGATGATTCATCAAGTAAACGTAACGTACTCAGCGGAATGTCTGGGAATGTATTACTGCAAACAAAAAATGATATTAATTGCACATTATCGAAAACTGAATAAACGTATTCAAATACAAAAATCCAATTATGAAATCCAGTTGAGGAAATCCAACACTTACAATGTCACGCCAGTCACTTGATCTTTTTTTGCACGGCTGTGACCGCGAGCCTTCAGAGTGCGTCAGAAATTCGAATTCATTTGGTGTGGTAGTGTACATAATGCCACCATTATTAATAGTACGCTTACTCTCATTCAATATTATAGTACTAGAATGTCTATCACTGATCAATCCATAGTCTTATCAGATCGGAGAAACAGCACAACCAGTAAAATCATTTACTCTTCCACTTTTGTTATGACATTTCCGCAATATACCAATATGTCATTCTGGGAAATGATCACAAATGTTTCGTTAAACATTCTAAATACCCTACCTGAATATCTGTTCGCTATCTTCCGGTTCCATGCCATTGGCCACAGTAAAATGAAAGGCTATTACTTGATGACTGTTAAGGAAGAGCAATTCCTCCTGCAGAAAAAGGATAATTTTATACAATTAGTAAAGTTATAACAAGCATATTTTTGATAAATATTGAGAACACGTGAAATCACGCAAAAAAGCAGTCAAACCTCAAAAGTTTGAAGAATTAGCAAGCCTTTACTGAGAAAATGACTTCATTACGTTAACGATTACAAATAAACTGAAGTAAATTAAAAAACAATTGGAGCGAATGAACAGGTCAAACCTTCCAGTCCTCAAACTTTGTTTTCAACATTTCGCTGTTATCATTTTTTTCTACTAAAAGGGTCGATGCATTTACGTCAGGTCCGTAAAACACTAACACTTGCGGCACCTCTATCGCATTGATGTATTCTCTGAAACGGAGATATTTGTTACGGCAATATTAAAATATTGATCGTTTGTCCATAATTACTATAGCATTCGTTCTATTTCGTAAAGCGACAAGAACGACATTTTTGTTCGACACCGAATTAATGTTCATCCTATCAAAACATTTTGTGGATGAATATTGTTGCAATCAACTCTTTTCTGTATCACTCCATTCTAGATTGATCTGTTAGCCAAGAAAAAATCAAGTCTGACTTACTTTCGATTATCCGGCTGATCAACAATGCAAATTGGAGCGTTAACAAATGTTTTTCGAATTTTTTTGATTGTATTCAGTGCTTTACTGTCAGCGCTTTCATTACTATATTTCAGATCGTTACTAATCACAATGATCAACTTCACTAGATCCTGGGATTCACGATTATCTTATTGGGTCGTGAAGATCGAACTTCTAATAAGCTCTAATAATGAAATTCTATGCAAAATTCACATCGCTATAAACATGATACTTCGGAGTGTCACATACTGATGCATTGAACTTTAATTAACTCACTTCATTGGCTTCCAGGTCACGTGGCATTAAATTTTCTATCCATTCACTGAAAAAACTGTTGCAGTTAAAGACAAGCATGACAGAGATCAACATACACATTAAATGTTACATATTCGATGGAGTTTTGCATTGATCTTTTGAGGCAGAATGAATTACATTCTTGGTATATTGGTTCAATTCTAAGTCTAATTACATTCCCTAATTAAACTGTTTGTGGTATTATGCCTTCTGTTTACAATTCTTAGTATATTTAGGTAAAGATTTCATTATCACTCAAGTACCACTTCATTATCATTATCACTTAAATATTACGACTATTCGACTGTCACATTCAATTATTGATGCAATGTTTGGAATAAAAATCTTTGAAGTATTTGCGCCAAAAACGATTAAATCTCAACATTGGATGACTTTGGCATAATTTGATAATGACTAAAGTTTGTTTCTGTTAATATAAAAGATGACTAACAAATCGTCGTCTTCCCAGAAAGAAAAGCTCATGTACGAGGATGAACTCAAATCGTATGGGATAATCACTCCGTTCATTGGACTTCCTTCTATTTCATTGAGGAGGAATGGCGTATATGCTGAAATCATATAATTAGAACTATTTGTTTATTTAATAGTGGTTTAATCCCATATGATGCAAAAATCCATTACAATTTCCTAACCAGTTACAAATTTCCTGCGTATTTCTAGATGATGTTCCTGAGACGTGAATGTCAGTACGTCATAATAATAGTTCTCCGGAGCTGTCATATTAATCGGTTTTTCACTTCCAAATAAAATAGCTTCATATGGTTTCCAAAAAGGCACAGCGAAGGGATCTTGATGCTAAAGTTCGAATTTGCATCATTATGTCGTTAAATCATCGTCTGTTATAAGTTCGTTCTGTTTTTTAGTAAATTATTATTCTTGACAGGAGCAAAGAATATAACATGCCTCAAAACCGGTGAAAAAACCGGTGAAATTCGTCTCATCTATGACTTTCAAAGCATTCTTTAAATATGGCGGGTTTATTTCACCATCTCGGTAATGCAGTATTCTACGTCGACGGTTTAACTCGTGGTTCATATGTTCAGACATCATGGGGATTGCCCTGCAAAACGATATGAAGAGAAGATCCATTATTTTTATTATTTAAAGTCAATTCATTATAACTTATTAACTCATTTCAATTTCCCTTATCTCCTATAGTTACTAGTAATTGAAATCACAGATGACGCTGGTGTCAGATTACCGAAATTAAAGCTACGTTCAAACAAAATTTCCACAATATCCAATAAACGAATATCCAACAATCAACAGAATAGCTTTCCCGACACTTGAGGAATATCTGTAGCGTGATAATATATAAGTGAAAGAAAAGTGCTAACTTGCTAAGACTTTTTAAATCTTTGCGAGGCAAGTGACGAACAATTAAATGTCCTACTTGTCCAAGAGCAGAGACTGGTTTATTATTGGGATACCGAAATTTAGTTTCAGTTTTTCTTTTTTTGGGAGCGCTGGGTCCTTCTTCATCCGTCCCTCCTGAAATTCTAATTAATTCGTCACTAAAGTTCTTGTTTTGCGCATATTTAAACAGAAAATGCAAATTCTTGCAAATTTCCCAATTATGTATCGTACGGCACTTCAAAAAAGTTAATTTAAATTTAAAGAATGTTCGAGGAGTCTACCTGCTGCCAATGTAATATTGAATGATACCATATGGCTCACAATGAATGTGAGAATGGCAAGGTATTTCAAATCCATTGTTATCAAAAGCTGTAAATTAAGAATATACTCAATGATTTGAATAATCTTAAGGTGTTGTCGAATTTTTTTACTATTACAAGTGAATTTCGAGTTCTTTAGAGAATAGATTCCATCATTTTGAATGTGTAATAAATCTGGTTGCTAAAGGATGCAATTTTCCTCCGAGTAATTCGTAAAACAAATTTTTTCATTTCGCCACTTTATTGTATGGTTTTTTTGATGAGTAATGGCAATAAATGATTAGTAATATGTACGAGATTTCGGCCCAAATTCGGTCGTTCAGTGAAGGATAAGCTCTATAATTACTTTATGCATTAGTTACGATGACTAATCAATACTATGAAACGAGTAAAAGAAATTGTAGAAACGAATTTGGTGAGGAGGAAGGCAGTTTATGACAGTAGACTGAATTCTGAACGAAAATATTGACCTTTTATAGTGAAAAAATCGAATCTGTCAAAGATCAGAAAGGTTCGGGGAAAATCGAAATTAATCTCAATTTTCCATTTTGCATTGAATAGCAAGGCATTGTAAAACAGAAAGCATTTTATACAGATTATGCAAAAAAGTAAATAATACTGTCATATACAGTTTTTTTATACAAATTGGGATTAACAAAATATTTTGTATCACTGAAAGCCTTCCATGCATTGTCACAAACGGTTTTTCTATAGAAATTTGGATTAACAGAATATTTCGTGTCAGTGGAAGCCTTCCATTGAATTAAATAAATTTGCATTTGTATCATCCAAAGATAAGCTGGACCATCGAATATCATTATTTTTCATTCAGGGAAAGTTGTAGAATTTACATCATTTTCTATTATTTGTACTTTTTGTATTTTAATATAAAATTGTAATCCTACATGTCTTGCGAAATGCCAGGAAGATGAATCGAGAATTTTTTCCCGAGAAAAAGACTATCGGTATTTTACTAAGAATACAAAATGAATGCCTTTTTAGAAAATGTATGACAATAAAAAGTAAGTAACCTGCGAGTAAGGAACCAGATTCTACCCAACTTCTCAGGAAATCAGAAAAACCGAAATTAACGTCTGTCTTCTACTTTGCATTGAACAACATGCATTGCGAAACGGCAAATATTTCACACAGATTATGTAAAAAAAGTAAATAATACTGTCACAAACAGTTATTCTATAGGAATTGAGAATAACAGAATATTTCGTGTCACTGGAAACCTTTCATAGAATTACATAAATTTCGATTTGTGTCAGAAATAACATCACGGCAAAATTGCTCTATAAAAATTTATTAATTTACATAAATATCGAAATTTTCAGAATAGCTTTCCCTTCTTGCATTTCATCATTGATGTTTTATTCCTTTTCCTCTCACTCCTCTTTTACAAATCTTTCAATTTAATTTAATTTATCGAATGAAATTTGAGGGAAGGTGAAAATTTGCTGGTGTTGATTAACGTAAAAAAACACTTTATCCATCTGCTAATATTAAAAATGTCCGAAATTTCTTGCGAAGTTTACTCTTTTTTTTGAACAAAATTAATCTTTGATTTATACAAGATGATCAATGGCATTTTTTTGATAATGATTGTACAAATTCGTACAGATAGCATATTTCACCGATTCTAAATCTCACTTTAAGTTTGAAAAAAAAAAATAATGAGAAATCGAATTCACCTTTTCTGAAAACATTTATAAAACATTTTTGTTTTTATCGCACATTAACAATCTTGCTTCATTGCTACTGAAATAATTGCTTGAAGTATAAAAGTTATGTTCAGAATTAAGTGTCAACAAATAACATCAACAATTAGACAATCACAATTTAACTGATAATTCAATCACACTTCACTGATCAGGTAGAAAATTTAAGAAATTGGATTGTGCAAATGATTAAATTAATTAGTCGTGACTAGTTAGTCATCACTGGATTTTTAATCTGTACACTAACAATTT